TTTGGTGTACGAGAAAATAAAGTGAAGGTGCGTACGTGCCTGCGTGTGTGTATGCACGAGTGTGCGTTCCTGCGGGAGACGCATACCCCACATTCGACCTACATCTTACCGTGTAAGTGGAAAATAGGAAAAAAGAGGTTGACGGTGAATGTTACTGCATATTAATAGGCTTAGAGAGCGACCCCTAGCAGCGTTTTATTAGGAAAGTAAGTGGGGTAACACCACTTACTTCATTTTGAATTTCTTTATTATTATTATTATTATTATTATTATTATTATTATTATTTCCTTTTTTTTGTTGAATACTAATTTCCTCCTGGATCCTGACCAAAGATCTAATCTCAGAAATGACATCATGACATTTTCCACATTTATGTAAAAAGTAAAAATAAAACAACCTAAGACCGTACACACTTTAAATCGACGAAGCCCTTCGTAAGGTGTGAGTTGTACAGGTGTTAACAATTTTCTGGATCCCTTCAATGAGTCTATCAGAACCTTTTCAAACCAAACCTAGAGGCCTAAGCACAACTAGAATTATTGATGTTTTCAAATGCCACATTTTTTTTTTAGTTTACTACTTCAAGATCCTTGTATTTGAATAGCATTTTTTTAAAGATTTACAAAGAAACATTACAGTTTGTAGGAAATGCCATGTCAATAAGAAAGCACTGTTTTTGTCTTTGATCAAAATATCTGGGCGATTAGCTTTGATTGCTCTGTCAGTGTGTATTGTAAAGTTCGATAAAATTGTTACAAGTCCTATATCTTTATATTTTTTTTTCTGCATAACATATGATTTGTTTACTGATGAGAAATTTATTTTCAAGTCACCTCTCATGATATAAGAAAATAAACCGGTCATTTATTTTATTTTCATCAAGAGGCTGCTTATCTTTGCTCTTCCGAGAAGGCAAAGTTCCGTAACGGCTCTGTTATCCAAACAATATGTCAACATTTTTTTTTTTTTTTGACATGTTTTTGTACAAAATCTTAATGTTCCAGTAATCATTTGTTCCGTAATTACTTCTTTGATTATCCTTTTCTTACATTCAAAATTTCATAATATAAATCATTGTTGTTGTCAATCTTTTGTCCGCGATCAATTATCATGTCAAATGGACAAAAGACTTCCTTCAGGTAGCAATTTTTTTTTTCTATTTGTCCACAATTTCAGGATCATCATTATCACCATCTGTATTATTATTACTAATACTATTATTATTATTATTATTATTATTATTATTATTATTATTATTATTATTATTATTATCCTTTGATTTACTTATTTGTTTTCGGGTCCCAACCAAAGACGTAAGGTCAGAAATGGCATCATGACATTTTCCACTGGGCATTTAAAAAACAAACTAAGATCACACACATTTTACATAGATAAAGCTCTTAAGAAATTCGGTGCAAGAGTTTTATGAATTGATGACAGATGATAGAGCCAAAAGTTGGGTACTTTTATTATTATTATTATTATTATTATTATTATTATTATTATTATTATTACTACTACAACTACTATTAATATTATTATTATTATAATTATTATTATTATTATTATTACTACTACAACTACTATTACTATTATTATTATTATAATTATTATTATTATTATTACTACTACAACTACTATTACTATTATTATTATAATTATTATTATTATTATTGTTGTTATTATTATTTCCTTTGATTTCTGTTGTATTCACATTTCCTTTCGGGTCCCAACCAGAGATATGAGATCAGAAATAACTTCAATTTTCACTGATCACTAAACCTAATATACACATTTTACATAGATAAATCTCTTCGTAATGTGAACCTTTTCTAATTTAACCGAGGCCTCCAACTACAATTGAAATCATTGATGACCTCGTGTGGCACATTTTTGAAATTTTCAGTTCAACATCCTTTTATTTTGATAGTTTTTGAATATCTTCAAAATAATCTTAATTTTTAAAATGAATAGATTTTAGGTCAGTTGTTCTTTTTAAGTAGAAAGAATCCACTGAAGTTGTATTTTGATAGTTTTTGATGATCTTCACAATAATCGTAATTTTTGTAATGAATAGCTTTTAAGATCAGTTGTTTTTTTTCCAGGTAGATAAAATCCGCCATACTCTCCTGTTACTCTAAAGGGATAACCAAGGGATAACTAAGGGATAACCTGTTACTCTAAAGGAATAACTAAGGGATAACCTGTTACTCTAAAGGGATAAATAAGGGATAACCTGTTACTCTAAAGGGATAACCTGTTATTCTAAAGGGATAACTAAGGGATAACCTGTTACTCTAAAGGGATAACTAAGGGATAACCTGTTACTCTAAAGGGATAACCAGATACTTAACCTTTACTAATCGAGATGTCTTCCTTTGTCATTCGTCTGCATCAATTTATTTGCTTGCAATTGAATTTGTTGTTATTTCTCTCCCCCCCCATCTGTCTTTCTATTTTTTCCTTCATTTTTCCCTGTCAGTTTTGGTTAGTCGGTTTGCATGCATGCATACAAACATACGTACTTGTGTGTATGTGCCTGTAAATTCATGTTCACATACATGCATTTACTCACGCACACACACACACAGGTATCACACTTTAAGTATTAGTGCTAATAAATTAGTGGTCGATGTATATATATATATATATATATATGTATGTGTGTATGTGTGTATGTGTATGTGTGTATGCATGTGTGTGTGTGAATTTACATGAAAATATTCATACATATACACAAACATGTCTGTCGTCCATACTAGTGGCTGAATTTTTAGTAGTTTTGCATTCACTACAGTCAGTAATGGTCGATTTTCAAAAATAACAAAAACAAAAAAAAGTGTCATTTTTATGTTTCATTTTCAAGTTCCTCGCTCACAAGAAGTTTGACGCAGTACAGTCTTCTCTGCGGTATTTCATTCTATTTAGCATTGTGTTAAGACTTACTACATTTTCTCCAAATTGTTGTGTTTTTCTTGTTTCTTTTTCTTTTCTTTTTTTTTCATTCAAATTCCTGTTTTTTTTTTTCCCACCTCATCTCGAAATTACTTTTCGTTTTTCCTTTTGATATCCAAGTCTTCGTTATTAAACTTTTTCTACTTTACTCTATGTCTCGATTATGTGACTGTTTTTCTTTCATTTTTTTTATTTTTTAGCATCAATCAAAAATCTGATGAGAATAATGTTTCACCAAAAACATAAGACAAACAAACAAACAAAAATCTCGCCAATTCAATATATATATATATATATATATATATATATATATATATATATATATATATATAAGAGCCTTGAACGTAAATTGTTCAGTGTGGGGAAAAAGGAAAATCCAAGCAAGCAGACGACATTTTGATTAAATTTTCCTCCACCAGCTATTTTAAGCGGCAATTGTCTGAATCCCATTGTCGAGTCTTAATATTTTGATAGACATAAAGTGATTCGAATCACTCTTGAGTAAGGTTATAAGCTGCTGTGAGAATTGCATTACTAGACGCAGGTCCGTAGTCAAGTAATCATTGCAGTGGAAAATCGACCAAGTTATGTTGGGTGTCGTATTTTTGTGACGCCAAGAAATGGCGTTGTTCAAAGCAGTCAAGTAATTTATGTTAATTACTTCTTTCTTTTGTTTTGCTTTGTTTTCAACTGGTCTTTTACTTTCTCACATAGTGATATATTTTCGCTCTTTTGGCCTTCATGCGAGCTAAAAGTAAAAGACGAACGCAAAAACTACATCCGGCAGCAATGCCTCTGAGCGGGAGAGAAGCAAGGAACCACTTCTTAATTACTATTGTTCCCATGCCCCCACCCTGACTTGGGGTGATAGCACTTGTAGGGTGCCAGCTCCAGGCAAACAGTGAGCCAACAAACAAACAAAAAAAAAACACTATGATAGTGTAAAAATACATTCTTAATGTTAAAATACCAGCAAAACATTTTTATATTAAAAAGATACCAACAACGCCTATTGATAGCAAAATGGCCAACAATACCTTTTGATAGCAAAATGACCTGAAGTTGAAGAGATACAAATTCGTTCAAAATATTTGTCATGGGTCCTTACCTATAACTACAGAATAAACTCTTCCTAACATTATGTATACTACGCCTCTCAAGAGAGAGGGTCGAATCAAGCCGCGGTTCTCGGCTTGACGGTCGAACTCTCTGCCTCTGAGCAGAGAGGAACCCGGACGAGGCTCCGCCGAAGGGCAGAGGCTCGTTCGGGTCGGTTGACCAACCCGATCCCGTTTATACGGGTTCTACGGGCATTTTTTGGCCGAGCCTACGGGCTCGGAAAACCCACGTAAAACTGGGCCTTGTGCCACATCTTTTCCTCGTGTGGGGACAAGTAAATATCAAATCGAGTCAAGCCGATAGTAGTTCACTCCAAACCAAACTGACAGTCATACTAACACCTTCCACATCTTGTATTATTATTTCATGTAATATACCTTCGTTATTTCTACTCTTGGATTCGTGTTGTTCTTCCTTGGTCCTAACCCTGGACTATAACAGTTATTATAGTAGGATATTATATGGATTAATGTCATGAAATAGTTCTTTCTTGTTAGCTGCTTGGTTAATTTTGTTTAACGGCATATCAACCACTATGGGTTATTTAATGACGAAATCTATTTCAGCATTATATTGGCCTATGTTTGATTTGAAGAGACGTCCGCGGCCACCGCATGGTAGGGTAGTAGGGTTTCTGGGATGGAGAGCTCTTGATTTCTTTGGACACTCTTCGTCTCTTCTATTTGTCTTCTGGTGTTTTCGAAGAATGTTGTATTTTGTTTGTTTCTTTTTTCGTGGACTGCTCTTCTCCAATTGGTTCTTCAACTGCAGTCTCCCAATTAACCGGATCAATTTCGGTCCTCAGCAAGGTGCTTTTGAGCTGTTCCTTGAATCAACGACGTAGGGTGACACGTGGTCTCTTGCCAGATGCGATCTCCGAGATGAGACTAAGCAAGATCCGATGCCCGCGGTCAAGGCGATGGTTCTACGTACTAGTCGACATCTCGACGACGGAAACTGACACTATGAACCTGTCGAGCTTTGCTTTTCCACTGTGGATGGTGTCAGCGACGTTAGAGGTGAAATTCTTGTATCGTCGCAAGACGAACTGCAGCGATGACGTGTGGTAAGCTCGTTTTCCTCGATCAAGAGCGAAAGTCGGAGGTTCGAAGACGATCAGATACCGTCGTAGTTCCGACCGTAAACGATGCCGACCGGCGATCCGCCGGCGTTCGCTTCCATGACCCGGCGGGAAACCAGAGATCGATTCCGTGGGGAGTATGGTTGCAAAGCTGAAACTTAAAGGAATTGACGGAAGGGCACCACCAGGAGTGAAGCCTGCGGCTTAATTTGACTCGGGAAGTGTATACACCATCAGATTGTGTATCCTTGTATCAGTAACAGCAACACAATGTTCATGTGCATAATGTTAAATCATCTGTAACTAATTCAGATGTGAATATAGTAAAAAATTGCCAAATTCAACAAATTATCAATTTCATCATCACCAGGTTTGAAATTTCTCCTATCATGATGATCAACTACAATACGGCCCATTAGAAGTCATATATACGACCCATCACCAAAGAGGCCGAAAAATAGTTGGTTTCTGTATCTGACTTCTTCCCGGTGCGCTATCTTTAAGAGTCAAACCAGAACAAAAAATTGCCATATGCGGGTTGGAGATGCTCAGTTCTCACGTTCCAGCCTTGACAGGAAAGGCGTCTACATGGCCCCTTGCGAGGGATGAATTATTTTTCATCCTATAACTACTACAGACGAAACTTCGCCAGCCTATTGGTATACTGTCGCTCTTTCTATTGCAAATGTCCTGACAAGGTACGTTACTTAGATCCACCAGTTCAGACCTTCACAGCAAAGATATGCCTAGCCACATACACTGGAACGAATCATCTTCATACCCTTCGTATTTTCTTATTAGGAATGGGAGTTTTACTCTTCCAAAAAAAATGCTACTTTCTGGGACAGACTGCCAAGAGGATGCTTCCAAGATCACAACAATCTTAAAGTCAGTTCAAACGTTGGTTATTACCAACTCCTTCATTCAATATCCCTCTATCTTGAATGGGTTTTGAGCATTGTATTGAATTCTTTGTGCAGAACCGACATCATTTTTTGAAGAGGCGAATACCGAGACCTGCTGGTTGTAACAAGGTCCTCAAACGACACTCCGCAGGTTTTGAATTCAGATTTTTCCTTCTCCTAGACCAGTTGCCACCAAGGCCAATCTGTCCTGCTATTTATCCATAGCTGGAGGTAGAAGAAGAGGATTAATACCTTTCACAATGGTATGAGCACGTAAATGAATGTAATGGATTCGATTGGAATTCGAACTCAGCTCTCTCATTCCTCAATCTGAGCCACTATCCATTTATACAGTTTGCTTCTGAGAGCAAAAACGATATCAGTCAGTTATGTGCCATGCATGATACACGCTTAGGCGATCATGTATCTTTTGATACATGACTTGCCATTTCTTTCTGTGGTAGACCAGTTGCCATCTAAGGTTATAGAACCCAGTCTATCCTGCGATTTACCCATAGCTTGGGTGAGGGAGAAAAAGAGGATTCAGGCCTTTTCCAAGAGTATTAGCACGTAAGTGAATGTAATGGATTCAACTGGAATAGCGGCTCTCTCATTCCTCAATCCGAGCCGCTATACACTATAGCACTGTACCTCCATATATATATATATATATATATATATATATATATATATATATATATATATATATTCCTTTTTCCTTATATCTTTACCTTTCTTCTTTTACTGCTTTTCCCTCTTCTATTCTTTCCCTTGTTTTTATATTTCCTTACCGCTTATCCATATTATGTGACTCGGTCAGAAAGTGTTATTCCCACTATACTCTGACTTCATATCGAAAATCCAACCGAGCCGAATAATATATGATAAAAAGCTGGTTCAATTATCATTATTAGTAACTACTGCTTCAATTTGGTTTCTTCTAACATGAGTCATTAAGATTACAGATAATCACTTCATGCTGTAGAACTGTTAAAGAAAATGTAATTAACTTAATTATTTGAGCATTCACAATAACTCTGCTTCAAGCAGAATTCTTTTTTCATTTTTCTGATGAATTTTGTTCTATGGCTTAATCTTCATGATTATAATTTTTCCTCAAGTGACCGTCAGAAATAACTAGCACTTTTCTTGTCGAAAAAAATAGACATTTTTAAATATCGCCTAATTTGTTCATCTTTTGTCTTTCTTTCCACTTTATATATTATATAGGAACTTTAATGCTTGAGATTTTACAACTTAATTCAATACTATGATCAGTGTGAATATTCAAAATATTGGGACACATTATAGAATCTTTAATGATGTTATTCTATCACTTATGTCTGGTGTTTTTCTTTGGGAATTTTATAAGTGTAAATTCTTCCTAGGTAATTTGATATGCAACACCCATTCGAATGAATAAAATTACCAATTTAAGAAATCAAATGGCCTGTTTTATCAGCGATTTTCTTCATCGTCTTTTGTGAGATAGTCCGCCTCATTTTCGAACTGGGTAAGTGTTATGGTCTGGTTCCTTGTACCACGGTGATAATCCAAGGTAGAACCAATAAAGAAGAACTCGAACACAGGTATGGAATAACACAGATATATTACAAACAGGAATATATACAGAGAATTAGAAGTATTAGTATGAACAATCAGGTTTAGTAGAGAGAACAATGTAGTCACGACCAGTATCACTATTCCAATGTCTTGCAGTAATTGTCTGAACGCGACTCTGTTTCGGACTGCCTCTGACTCGGCTCTTGACTCGACTTGAACTACTGACTGACTGACGATATTCAGTCACCCCCCCACGAGGGTGTCATGTGGCACAAGGCCTTTTTAACGTGGGCATTCCCGAGCCATTAGGCTCGGTCAAAAAAAAATAGCCCATTTGAACCCGTATAAACGGGTTCTGGGCCCAGTTTTACCTCCCGAAGGAGACTCCGCCCTTCGGCGTAGCCTCCTTCGGGTTCCTCCCGCCCGTAGGAAGAGAGTACAACCGTGCAGTCGGTTCAAAACTTGAACTACTGACTGACTAACAATATTCAGTCACCCCCCCACGAGGGTGTCATGTGGCACAAGGCCTTTTTAACGGGAAATTCTGGAGCCATTAGGCTCGGCCAAAAAAAATAGCCCATTTGAACCCGTATAAACGGGTTCTGGGCCGATTTTACCTCCCGAAGGAGACTCCGCCCTTCGGCGTAGCCTCCTTCGGGTTCCTCCCGCCCGTAGGAAGAGAGTACAACCGTGCAGTCGGTTCAAAACTTGAACTACTGACTGACTAACAATATTCAGTCACCCCCACGAGGGTGTCATGTGGCACAAGGCCTTTTTAACGTGGGCATTCCTGAGCCATTAGGCCCGGCAAAAAATAGCCCATTTGAACCCGCATAAACGGGTTCTGGGCCGAGTTTAACCTCCCTGAAGGAGACTCCGCCCTTCGGCGTAGCCTCCTTCGGGTTCCTCCCGCCCGTAGGAAGAGAGTACAACCGTGCAGTCGGTTCAAAACTTGAACTACTGACTGACTAACGATATTCAGTCACCCCCCCACGAGGGTGTCATGTGGCACAAGGCCTTTTTAACGTGGGCATTCCCGAGCCATTAGGCTCGGCCAAAAAATAGCCCATTTGAACCCGTATAAACGGGTTCTGGGCCGGTTTAACCTCCCCGAAGGAGACTCCGCCCTTCGGCGTAGCCTCCTTCGGGTTCCTCCCGCCCGTAGGAAGAGAGTACAACCGTGCAGTCGGTTCAAAACTTGAACTACTGACTGACTAACTCCGTGCCTACTCCTGAGGCGCAGAATTTATTAAGTATGGAATAGTCCATTATTATTATTATGGGTAAGATCCCATAACAGTAAGAGAGAAATTAAAAAAAAAAAAGAACAAAAAAACCTTGACGAAGAAGCATAAGGCGATGCAATCGAAAAATAATGTCTGTGTTAATATAACAGGAAACGGAAGGGAACTAGTCAGTATTGAAGATTGCGTCGACTGTCAATCAAGGGACGCGATGAAAGTAAGGAAAGACAACTCATAACAGCCTAAATGTGTTTTTACAACGACCGAAAGAAGGAAGAGAAACTCAAGAAAGACAAAGGAGAATTTAAAATGGGAATTAAAAATGCAATTTTATTTCTGGAAGAGAAATCAAATTATTTTTTAAATCATTTCACCCCCTCTCCTAGGAAGGCAATAAAGCCACGAGAATGCAAGGGGTTACTGAGAGTGAAAGAAACAGGGAGGACAATAAAGGAAAAGGATTTAGAAAAACAAAAGATGACGATTGGCATTGCATTTAAATGTTAGAAAATTGTAGTTAACCCTAAAGCAGGAAGTCAAAAGACCATTCTACAAGCGAGAAGTTCGAGAGAAGAAAAGATATCATAGAGCTTGTGGTTACAACCAGCAATTTCAACAATGAAATTATGAGACCTACCAGCCAACCTAGTACCGCGCTTAAATTCGTGAAGCCGGCGTACAAACAAATAAAGCTTATCAGAACAAATAACGTTATAATATTTATAGAAGAGGCAAAGGAAAGCTACGTTACTGTAGTAGGAAAATAAATGAAGCTGAGATCCAAGGTCAAGCTTGATAAGGTTGCCGATTCTTTTTTGTATTTTGTCAAGAATCTCTATTAACATAGACAATATATAAGTACCAGACCATATATGGAAGCAATATTTGATACATGGGTGAATAGTAGACTTACAAACGTAGAAGATAAAGATTGTGTAGCACGTCAAAGTGAAAGAACTTTTCTAGCAGTAAACTTAGTAATTGATTCAATTTAATCATTCCACTTCATGCCAATGAAAAACGGAAAACATAGAAGTGGAAATGACTTGGTCCCCTGGACGGTTAGCATCAGCCATGCTGATGGAAGGCAAATAATTATTTAATAAAAAGCAAATTCGTTTTAGAGGTGTTAAAATTAACATGACATTTTTTTTTTACCCACTTCGCAACAAAATGTAAACCATTTTTGTGATCAACTGCAATTTGATTCTATCGAACGTACCAGGCTTATTATTAAGACGAAAGTAAATATTTGTGTCATCCACATAGATATCGAGTCGAGAAATGATGACATCTTGAATGTCGTGTATGAAAATAAGGAACACAATGTCTCCAAGAATAGCGTCTTGGGAGACGCTTGCATTAGTGCAAAAGGGTATAGAGGGATGGCCGTTCAAGACAAATATCATTAACTCGATATGCGAAATGTTACATAAGGAAAATAAATGGATCGCTCTTAACCGGAGCACCCCCCCAAAAAAAAAAAACCAC